TCGACCAATCCAACAGGAAGGACCTTCAGGAAAGTGACACCAAGGGCGGTGACCAAACAGTGTATCAAACAAGCATATGGAAGACCTATCCTACGACCTGGAACTTGAAAAGTGCGAAGAATATGATGGCAAAGGAACGAATGAATGTCAATCGAGTCACCATGAAGAAGGGCGTAAAGAAATCAAGCCCGATCAGATGGTAAAGATGATGTATGGACGACCGGCCACAGGTTCGTGCATATGATTCGCAATAAGACCTGTCTGTCGGTCGGAAGCGATCCAGTGCGGATCGCAGAAAAACCCCCTTCCAACGGGGTATCAAAAAGAGTAGAATAAACAACAGGGTTAGATGGACCGATCTCAGCTGAAAGGTCAGGGTAAATTGGGTGAAGAACCCGAGGAATATGTAAAGACTCGGCCAAAATATCGGGTGAAAGTCTAAGAGTATGACCTTTAAGGAAGACCCAGAAAGAAGTATCGTAAGCCTCATGAATGTTTGAAAAAAACTCTTGAATCAAAAGACTTGGTGGAGGAACCAACCCAGTCAGTAAAGAATCCCAACCCCGAGAAGTGAAAATGGAAGCAATATAGGGGGATAGCTCAGCTAAAATTACCGCACGCTCTACGAGGACGGGATGATGTGAAAACTGAGAAGTAAAGACCTCATAGGCTGCTGAGGATATGAAATGCGTCCGATTGTATGAGGTGGAGCCACTGGACTGCTAAGCGGTGGTCCTGGCTCTCATTGGCGTCATCTGGAATATGATTGCAGAACAAACATGTCAAAAGATGCTACGAAAGAGAATATAGACCACACATAGTAGCCATGCAATCAAATGTAAAAATTATCCGTAAAATGATATACAAAGCAAACATACACGCAAAACGATGTAACTATGTGTCAAAACACGCAAAATGAAGCAAATCATTATCAAAACACGCAAAACGAAGCAAATATACATCAAAACATGCAAAATGATGCAAACCAGGATATGAAGTGCAAAAAGATGCAAGAATATGCCACATGCACGTAAAACAATGTAAACGTGTCAAATAGTGCAGTGCATGGATACATTGTAGTGATTGTAGACTGAGGTGCAGTGACATAGGGACGAAAGTGCAATGACTGCAGAGTCATGTCACCAAAACAAAACTTAAGCCAATTCAACTCCAAAATGACATGTGAATGCATTGAAGTGTTCATGGGACGATAAGTGACTCGTGTGTGCAAAAGCGAAGCCAAAAACACACGAACACGTCAATGAGACATTTCATTGAACACCTTGGATGCAATGAAGATTCATAGCATCCAATGCACAATCCAACACACCCAATGTCCACACATAAATCTAGCACCACAATAGGCAATCCAGCATCTAATCCCATCCCATTCTCCATCAAAATCAACCAAAAGAAGCATCAAAGGCAGAAAACAATGCAAGGGCCATTGACCTCACATGCAAGCTTCAAAAAAAAAAAAACTAAAAATGTATGATAAATGATGCAAACACATTCATAGCATAATGGGGTAGCCACAACATCTAAGTTCAAGTGAGAAATTGACTCAAAAACCAAGCAAATATAGAAATCCCCAAATATTGAGCAAATAGCCAAAATTAGGGTTAGATTGATTTACCTTCAAAATTTGGGAAATTGAATGAAGAAAATGATGTAAATGAAGTCCAAACACGTTGCCCAAGCCTTGAAGTGTAAGAAATTTCCAAAATTTGATGAATGAAGATCGAGTTTTGAGAGAATAATGCGAAAGAAATGAGTGAAAATGAAGCGTAATCGCTCCGTATAAGCGACCGTCGCTCGAGTGAAAGGAATCTGAAAGGGTCGCTCGAGCGACATTCAAGCGAAAATCGAGCGAAAGCTCCAATGTCAGAAATAGCACCAAAAGTTTGAAGAATCCATTTTTAAGCACAGTTTTCCAAAAATGACAAAAATAGTACATTTTTCAAAACTTTCAAACTTGGCACCACTCATTTTTTTTAAAATAAAAATAACACGAACTTCAAGCAAATTGAGCACTCAACATTCTGATGATTACAATCAAGCATGCAAACACAAGTCAAGCATTATAAGTAGACTTTCCCATGTACTCAGTTAAGTTCAAGATGGAATAAAGTGTAGAAATGACTCATGAGTGTAATGTGCCACTATTTTCTCATGAAAACGACTCCAAATCTTAATTTTGTGAGAAAGGACAAGCAAAACATCACTTGTTAAAAAAAATGATCCCGACAAACGAAAGCCAAACCCGAATGAATTGTAGGACCTAAAAATAAGCTCAATTAAGTGATAAATTTTCTTTTCTCCCCCTAAATATGAGCATAAATTATTTTTCAACGCTTTTCTCGAACATAGCATCTTATGTGCAGACCCAGTCCATTAAGTGACTAAATTGACCCTTGTAACGAGTTGTAGGCCGGTTAACCCAAATCAGATGATCATAGACACCAGGTTATGAGAAACCGTTCAGGCGTAATTACTAACACGTGACTGCCATCCCAAATCTCAGGCACGCAATTCACACTCATTTCACAAGATCATAGTGTGTGCAGTTCAAGTGAATACATGACGACACATATACTCAATACTCCACATTAAATCGAACCAAGCAATGGAAATAACAGTATAGCACAGATAATTGCTTACTTTGTTTCACATAACAGGTTTAAAATCAAAACAATGTGTCGTTTGCCCAAACAGAAAATATATTTTATTATTTTTTAAAAAATACTGAAAGCAGATAAATGCGATAAAAATAGAAACAACAAAAATAACACAAAATTAAATAACGTGCATGCATGCATGAATGAACACAATGAACTGCACATGCATGCTGCTTACCACTAAATCGGAGCGAAATTTGAATGCATTCACCATTAAGAGCATGACCAGTTTCACGACCCTCGAGGTCACTCCTCTTAACCCAAACTTTCTTAGAAGCAAATGATGATTAAGTTAACCGAGTCATCATTTCAGTTAAGTGGCTGACTTGATTGGCAAGAAAATCAACTTTGCTAGTGAAGTTCAGATTGTTGCTTCTAATCGTACATTTACGACATCTAGATCTAATGTGTCCCAGAGCACCACAGTGGTGACAAGTGGGAATGAATCGTGGTCTAAACCTATTCGGTGGAAGTTGTCGAAAAATAGGACGATTGACCCTATGCTGTGCTGTAGGTCTTGATCCTATGGCATGCTTACTTTTGGGTTTTGGATAAGCAATCTCACGAGCCTTGTTCGTGGCAGGAACGAATGTGGTCTTAGATGTACTAGCAAAAGTATCACGATTATGAAAATAACCCAAACCATGTCTGTCACCTGCAGGCTTGTTCATTCAAAGCAGATTGTCCAACTTCTGCGAGCCACTCATAAATGACTGGAGTTGAGCATTGGATTTATCAAGATCATATGTTAATGATTTAACTTTAGTTTTCAAGTTTTCATTAACGAGCTTCAACTCACCCACTCTCTTAGTCGAGTCCTGAAGGTCACTCAAAAGTTTTTCACGTTTAAGCTCTAGCTCGTTCACCTTTTTCAGAACGACTTTGTTGACCTTCTTGATTTTGAGACTTTCCTCAAACAATTCACGATAAGACTCGTGAATGTCCGTCTCATCATCAAACTCACCATTAGACTGCACACTCTCATTCTCCCTTTCCCCCTTTTCAATCTCGCGATCGGATTCGATTGCATCAATCGAAGTGAAGGCCATGAATTTTTGTTCATCCTTTCCTCCAGATGTCTCATTCTGAGAACTAGAATTCGATTCCTCATCACTCATGGTCACGGTTAAAGCCTTACGCCTTTCCTTATTCGAGCTCCTATTCAGATTAGGACATTCATTCTTAAAGTGACCAAATCCCTTACACTCATGGCATTGGACAGATTGGGGATTCTTAACGGGAGTCCTAGATGTGTTTTTCTCACGTCTACCTCTCAAAAGTTTATTTGGGACTTCACTATTCAGCACTTGAGGTTTCTCCTATTCCTCATCACCTTCTGGAATTTTTTTAACAAAATAAGCAATTCCATTATCCCTAATTGTCTCAGTGTCAGTGGACTCGCCCTCATCTTCCCTAACAATGTGCATGGCGATGGGTTTTTGTTTCTTAGGCTGTGCTAATGTCAATTCATAAGTTTGGAGGGATCCTACGAGTTCTTCTATCTTAACACTGTCTAGGTCCTTACTTTCTTCAATAGCAGTTACCTTAGGCCTAAACCTTTCAGGTAGGGATCTAAGAACCTTACGAACGATTTTTGACTCAGAGATCCTTTTGCCTAGATTAAAACTAGAGTTCACAATATCGTTCAGTTTAGCATAGAACTCATCAAACCTCTCATCATCATTCATCCTAAGTTATTCAAACCTAGACGTCAACATTTGCAGTTTGGAGTTTTTTACAGTTTTAGTACCCTCATGGGTAGAAACTCCTCAGGAGACACAACCATAAACAAAGCATACAGACCTTTACTATTTCAGTTGCATTCATCCAAGTTTGTTTTGGTTCACAAAGAAATATCAGTGGGTGTAACTACAACATCAACAGTTGTTGAAGGCGGAGTCCACCCATTTTGCACACAAGTCCATACAAGTTCATCTAACGCCTTAAGGAAAGCTCTCATGCGTCCTTTCCAGTAGGCATAATTACTGCCATCAAAGCATGGCGGTAGAGACAATGAACTACTCATCTAGACAATCAAATGAGGGTCAGGAATTGAAATTAAGCTTTGATACTAATTGAGAAACTCAAGATTTGACCCTACTACACCTAGAGGGGGGTAATTAGGTGTAAATGCGGAATTAACACTTTAATTAACAAGCAACAAGTCACAAGTTAATTATGTCTAGGTGATTAGTCAAACAATTCAGATTTTCTTATCTTTGAATACCGCAGTAATATCAAAACAGTAAAGAAAGCAATAAACAACACCAGAATTGTTCACGAAGAAACCCAACGCGGGAAAAACTCTGAGCACTTTGCCAGTCAAAAATCCACTATAAACTGTTGATAAACTTTACAGAATACCAGCAAAGTTGACGACACAAGCTTTCTGATCTCCCGTCTGAAGTTTGAAGCAGCCCTCCTGGAATGTGCACACCAATACCCATCCTGACTCTTCTTAGTAAAACAGTCCTCCTGGAATGAGCACACGAACTCCAATCCTGACTCTTTACACAGTTTATCTCCCGTAGATCTTCCCCAAGAACTCTCGTTCTTCAAATTCTTCTTTGATCTTCTACGCAGCCAAGTTGACGAAACAATCTTGCAGTAGACTCGAGCGAAGAATCCAATTCAATGTTTGATTTGATGGCTTTGATGTTTTCAATGAGTAAAGGGCATATGAATTGAAGGATTGAACTTTTGATCTTGTGTAGGATGAATTCTCTCTTGAATAGAATGTGTTCAATCTCTTATTCGCAGAAAATGCAACGCCTCTATTTATATGTTGGACGAATTAGGTTGAATGTGCCAAGAAAAAGTCTCGAAAATCGAAATTAGGTCTGGCCGAAAAACATAGTCGCTCGAGCGAGGAGCATACTTCGTTCGAGCTAAGGGCATGTCGCTCGAGTGACATGTAGGCGAAGGTCGAGCGATGATGTCTCTGTTTCATCCGCTCGAGCATCATTCCGGCGAGCAGCTAGCGAAAAACGGGCATGAATCCTTCTTGTTCCAAACATGAAACCCCGAACCCTAAGCTAACCTACCAACTATGAAACTTTACAATTCAGTCCCTAAAATTTTATAATTGTTCAAATTGGTCATTTTGTTCACAAAATTGCCAATACAATCTATAAATCTAACAGTACACATCTATCAGAATTCTGCTTGCCTTAACAGCTCATTTCAACAGGGAATTAGACCAGCTTGATGTTAAGACTGCTTTTCTAAATGGGGATCTTAAAGAAACCATTTACATGTATCAACCAAAAGGTTTTGAACTTAACTCAAAATCTGAATAGGTTTGTTTGCTAAAGAAATCCCTCTATGGCCTAAAACAGGCTCCCATGCAATGGTATAAGAAATTCTACTCCTATGTTTAGAATCTGAGGTTCCTTAAGAGTAATTTTGATTTCTGTTTTTAAGGGTAAGGAGGACCTGAATCTGTCTATACTATTATATGTTGGATATGCTTCTTGCTTGCCATAATAGATCTGAAATTGATTTTGTTAAAGAAAAACTTAAGGCTGAATTTGAAATAAAAGATTTAGGACAAGTTAAAAGAATTTTAGGTATGGAAATCAGAAGAGATAGGAAAAACTGTGTTTTGTATGTGAATCAGCATGGAAATCAGAAGAGATAGGAAAAACTGTGTTTTGTATGTAAATCAAAACTCTTATGTAAATAAAGTACTTGAAAAGTTTTCCATGACTGAATGCAAATATGTGACTTTGCCTATTGTTAATCATTTTAAACTTTCTAGTGAACAATCTCTTAAAACTAATGAAGAACATGATAGGATGAGTAAAATACCTTATACTAATGATGGTGGCTCTATTATGTACCTTATGATTTGTACCAGACCTGACTTAGTTCATGGTATCAGTATCCTTAGTAGATTTATGGCTAATTCAGGTGAAACATATTGGTTAGCTATTAAATGGATGATAAGGTATCTAAAGGGTTCAACTGAATTGGATTTAAGATTTTAAAAATGTGAAGAAGGTGTTATCCTGAAAGGATACACTGATTCTAACTTTGCAGGTGATTTAGATAAGAAGAGATCCACATCTTCTTATATTTTTACTCTTTGTGATGGTTGTGTTAGTTGGAAAATCTCAATTGCAAAAGATTGTTGCATTATCCTCCATAGAAGCTGAATACATTGCAACTTGTAATGTTGTTAAAGAAGGACTGTGGTTAAAGGGTCTTTTAAATGAAATTGGTTTCATGAATGAAGTAGTTAGATAATCAAAGTGCTATTCATTTAAGTAGAAATTCTGTATTTCATTATAGGACTAAACATGTTGACCTTAAATTTCACTTTGTTAGAAACATGTTTGAAAAGAGTTTGATTCTAGTTAAAATCCCAACTGAGTTTAATCCTTCTGATTTGGTGCCAAGGTATTATTTCTAAACAAATTCAGAAACTGTTTGAAAATTTTGAACATATCTTGAAGGTAATGAATTTAGTTAAATTCTATATCTGCTTTATTTTGTCTTTAATACAAACTGACTATTTTTCTTTACAGGAACATTAGAGTAAATGAAACAAGTGTAGTTATGACTTGAATCCACGAAAGAATACTAAGAACAGATCATCAACATGGAGATTATTGTGGGCTACATTTCTATTATGTGTTATTGGACCTCTTTATTTTGTCTTTGGGCTTTGCTGTGTAATTGGGCCATCGAGTTATTTGTTTTACATTGACTGATCTTGGCCTCACATCTGGCATACCCTGGACCGTTGGATGGAATGTGTTAAGGGTAGTTTTTTAACCCTCTTCTCGACTCTTCGATTGTAACTGTAGTGTGATATTTTCTAGGGTTTCCTTCGTCTTCTCTCTGTGTGTGTTTCATCTCTTCATCTTCTTTGTGATCTTCTGGTTTTGATCTCTGTAATATCTTAGTGATATTGTTAGATTGTATTTGGTGTACAATTTTAGAGGTTATGAAGAGAGAGTTTTGTATTAGAGAGGCGAAAGGAAACTTATGTGAAGAAATCTTCATACATTCTGTAATTGTTCTTTGTGATTCTTAGTGGATTCGAGCGTAATCTACTTTGTAGATGCTCAACGGGTGAGTAAGCTTTCAAGCTAAACATTCGGGCCCTAAGGAGTGAAAAATCTGTGTGTTCTTTGTTTATGCAATTTTTTTTTTTTTGCCTTTATGTTTTTGTATGCAAATTTTGATTCTGGAACCAACAGTTTTGAAGGGGGCTTCAAAAGGAAAACGAATTGTCATTATGTATACGATTCATTTGTAGAGTAGTTATGTATTTTCTACTAGATTCTTGTCACTGATGCATAAATTATATTCTGTAAACTGTGGAACATAGACTCAATTTTGAGAAGCCCATTTCAATAAATGCTTTGATTTTGAATTAGAATAACTGATCATGGATGTTATGTTGGCACTTTGCTACGGAAGTTTTCAAATGATATTTTATGAACATAATATAATGCTTGTAGGCAATTGATAAGTGTAGTTTATACACTTATTCGATGCCCTAAATCATGATATTTTATCTTTTGGATAAAATTCTACCTAATTTATGTTATATTGCATGTTGTAGGTAAAACTTTATATTTGACGAAGAATTGGAGAAAAGAATGCAAAAGTGACGAAAAATGGCAAAATCCAAATATGAATTCCTTGGAGAGAAATTATATATTAAATGAGTTGGAGTTAACGGGTCTCAATAGACTTATATTGAAAATTTTAATTAGTGGCCCGAATTAAATCTAAATATATATATAACCCTAAACCTATAGAAAAAATGGATTTTGTTACTATACACATGCACAATGGAGAGGGAGAAGGAGGAAACGGCCCTGAAGAGGCGAAAAAAAGAAGGTAGATAAGAGAGAAAGAAGAAAAGGAAGAAAGAAAGAGAAAGAAAGAAAGAAAGAAAGAAAGGAAAAAGTCAAAGGCAGGAAAGAAAACTGACACGGAGGGAGAAGAAAAGAAAATTAGAAAAAGGAAGGAACCTGCAAACACCAGAAATCACGTTTGATCAATTTTTGGTGAGTTCTTTCCACTTTTACGCGTTTTTATTTTTACAATATGAATAACTAATTTTTATATTAGGGAAAACAATTTAGTCGACCTGTGATTCTTTATTTTTTTTATTCAAGATTTATGTGATTTATTTATTTATTTATGTGTTCATTTTATTATGAGTTTAATGCATTAAATTATCTGATCAATAATTTGATGATTATGTGAGTCTTTTACGAATCGAGAGGTGAGTTTGAAATTTAGACCATATAATAAAATTCGATAAATTAGTATAACGTGTAGATATGTCTATACTAATTATTGAGATAATAATATGAATTCTTAGAACTAGTGTTTCGTTTAACTAAACTTGATTCGCATAGAGATATTGAATTTAATTAGTTAAATAAGCTCAATGAGAACTCGAAAGGGGTAAATTGAATATAATAGAAGAATTCAATCGAACACTACACTAGATTATGAATCTTGAATTAAGAATAAATATGATTAATAGATGAAATTGTTATTCCCTAATATTCATCACATATTTGTTTATTCAATTATCAATTGTTTACAATCATTTTATATTTTTCATTAATTAAAAATAATTAAAAAAATAATTACAGTCATCATAATTGTTTATTTGCTTTTGTCAAATAGGAGTAAGAAAAATTAGATTAAGTTTAAAGTATAGTCCTCGTGGGAACGATAATCCGGACTCAAAGGTCCACTTTATTACTTGTTACGATATCGTACACTTGCGATATAAAAATGCAACAACAATAATATCTTATTTATTACTTATCTAATAAGATAACGGAAGAGGCTAAAAAACCCGAGAAACATGATCGGTTCAGTTCCAGTGGAGAATAATATGAACAAAACAATACAGCGCCAAGGAGAATGGGTAGAGGAAAAATGCTAATAAGCAAGTCCAGAAAGGATAACTTGTACTTGAGCACCCCAAAATCCCTATTACGGCACATACCACCAAAATAGTTAGCACTTCTGCTGAATAATCCCATGGCAAGTCCTTCGCGTATACAACTGCTAACAGTGTTGTCAAACCCGAGATGTTGTTCATTACGACGCTACTATAAATCTGCAAGTCAAATGGAAAAGCTTTCACCAACGAGTCCTTCCCAATTCTTTGTTAATGCCCTAGTATAAATTATAATGTGTACATGTGCGCATGCTTGTGTTCATGAGAGAGAGAGAGAGAGAGAGAGAGAGACTGACTTCGGAGAATGTTAAAGATGCCGTTTTTTCAGTCTTTTTACTGGCTGGAAAGATAGCTTCTATTAAGGTTCTTGCATGCAGTGCCAATGGCACTATCACAAATGAGATGGAGAAAGAAGGCACACTCATGGCGTATGATAACTCTAGGATACTTGTCGTGAGAGGTCCTCCAATGAAGGTCAATATAACAATACCCAACACTATTCTAAATACACATTTTACAAAATTCCAGAAAGTGTGGCCATAAACCAATTTATCCCATACAATCTGCAAGTTAAGGGAGGAGAAAAAATTGGATTAGTTAATTTCCAATGAAATCAGTAATTTGTACAAAACGTAACAAAATGCTTCTGTAAAAAGTTAAAACAATTTCCTTCTCACCTTGTCAAATTTATCCACACTTTTAGTCTTATCAGAGCATTTAGCAACACGAATGGCTTTACCAAGCCAATTTTGTAGTCCGTTGACAAATTCTTCTTTTTCAATCATATTACTACCATCTTTATCGAAGTTGAAAAATATCTTGTTTACCACATCCTCAGGTTTTGGGTGCAAATTTTCGAATTGGACTGTTTTGATTATTTTCTCTAATTCATCTCTTGATATCTTGTTGTTATTGTCATTGTCATACTTTCTGAAGAGGCTGCCAGAATAAAAAGAAGATTGTGAGGAATTTCTGTCAAACTGAGAAAACAAACAGGTAAATTATGATAAATTACGTGTTGATTCTCTCAATGTTTGGTTTCCCATCTTCCTGGATAAGTGGTCCTTCTAGTAGTTGGCTTTCAGCGTGCTTTAGAATTTTCGACATTATTGGATCAATTTCCAATTTCTCTTTTTCCATCTGACTAAACTGTTGAAAGTTCTGCAGCAGATCAAAAACAACTATGATGCATATTAGAAAAATGTGATAGGAATTTGAATACATTTATAGAAGCAACATCTTGCAGATAAAATTTCTACAAGAAACTTCCATTAGTATCATAGTTTTAAAATTTGCATGAATTAGGAAGCTTGCCTCGTCTTGAAGTTCTGTTGAAAAGAAATCACCTTTTTCAGCTAACGATACACATGCTCTGGTGAACTCAGTTTGGTTGATTTTGCTGTCATTGTCGGAATCAAATAATTTCATTGATTCATCAACAGCTTTATTTATGGCCTCTTTGGAATTATCTGTCATGATTTTATTAAACAACTTTTGCATTTCAAGCCCTGTTATATATCCGTCTCCATCTTTATCTGTTTCACCAAATAGACTGCAAAGACAAGTATACAATGAGAGCCTTCATAACGGAAATGATTAGAAAATTTACCATGTAATATTTCAAAAAATTACATTTTGATGAGAGCAAAGTTAGGATTCCCATCATCCTCATCAATAAGTTTTCCCCACCGTTCCACATGTTTCAAAAATGCTTCTCTTAAAATCTCGTACTGCATGTAATCTGAACTTAATTTCTGCATCCACTTATTCAGAGTCTGAAAAAGAAGAGAAAATTAGCAATATTGTACATTAAATCGCTGGGTTAGCTTTAAACCATAATACCTGATAGATGAAATATGAAAGTAAAGATACGGCAGACACTACGAACGCTATCAAAAGACCTATGTGGGATGTGTCGAAGATATCGACTAGTTGCACAATGATGTAAGGAATCAAAGAAAGAAGCATAATCCCAGCTACTTGACGAGTTTCATTGTTAAGTTTAACTCTGGTTTCTGCAGTTAAGAAAGAATTGTCAGTTCTTATATATTCAATTGCAAAGATCAACTAATTCACATGAAAGAGGAAAACCTTTTAATTCATTGAATTTTTCTTTGACTTGCAAGCAACATGAAGTTTGGGATTCTGAATGCTCGGACGTCTTTGATTTATCTAGCCATTTTTTCGCGCCAAAAATCAGACATATACCCCACTGCAGCGTGAGAGTAAAGACGGTGATTCCAGCATAGATACCCACTCCAAGTGACACCAGAGACTGAGCGTTCTCTTTGCTACCGAAAACTCCAGTTACTACAAACAGTGATTGTTTCCTTTAGTATTTTGTAGAGTGCTTAAGGTTTCGAATATTATTGTCAAATCTAACGCACTAGTCCATTATAAGTTTCTATGTGATGTGGTATGACCCAAATTTCATGTGATTTGGTATTTTGTTGAATAAAAGAAGTCTAAAAGAGTTTTGACTTTGAGAGTCCTAATTAATAAATATCAAATTTCATAAAAAAAAATGGGAGTTTGGCTTAAAAAGGGACTTCGAGATGAAAAAAATACCTTGGAGACATAATTGCCAAAAGTGGGCGCTGTAGTGCTCGTGAGAAAAAAATGGGCAGGGTGCTCGGTGCCGTAGCGCCGGTACCCGTGCTGATATTTGCCCGGGGTGCGCTGGTTTGGTGGCTCATCGAGTTTATCCCGATATTTCCTAATTTTATGTTTTCTTCTTCACTTAGAACTCCAAAAAAAGGCTCATATATCTATTTCATATTATTGTATCTCCATATACACATTAAAAACAATATCTTGAGAGTTAGAGTTTAGATTTCAATTGAGAGTATTGAGATCTTAATATTGTAAATATATTCAATATTAATTAGAGTGAAATTCTCCACTTCTTCCTGTGGTTTTTTCCCGTCTTAGGTTATTGCATAAATCTTGGTGTTCTTATTTTATTCTTGTATATTTCATTATTGCTATTGTCTTGCTATCTCCATAACAAATAGTATCAAAGTAAGGTTGATTTTTCCCATGGTATCGACGAAATATGATATTCTATTATTGGATCAAAACACGAGATATATTGTATGGCAAGTGAAGATGCGACGGTTCTCACGTAGATGGATTTGGACAAAGTCTTACTTGGCTTTTATAAGATGCCTTCAACATGGATGCAGGATTAAAAGCAACGTAAGGATCAGAAAGCTCAATCTCAAATTCATCTACATCTTTTAAATCAAATTCTTCAGGATGTTTTAAAGGAGAAGAGTGCCGCTGCGTTGTGGTTGAAGTTGGAGCAATTTTGTATGACAAAGAGTTTAACCAGCAAGTTACACTTAAAACATCGTTTATATTCTCACTGGACGTCCGAAGTGTGTCATTGGATATTCACTTAACTACGTTCAAAGAAATCATGGCCGATTTGGAGACATTGGAAGTTAAGTATGATGAGGAGGACTTGGCTCTAATGTTGTTTTGTTCATTACCGCCGTCATATGTGACTTTTCGATATATTAGTCTCTATAGTTAGGATACCTTCATTGTAGAAGATGTCTATGATACTTTACTATCTAAAGAGAAGATGAGATATCTTGCTGGAAAATCTGAAAGTCAAGCTGAAGGCCAGTTGTTCGTGGAAGAAAATAAGATAGGAATCTTGGTAGAAATATAATAGGCACATTATAAGAATAATGAGCATATTAGAGCTTATTGTTATGCTTTTGAAAAACAGAACCAAAGTTACTGGTGATATTGATAAAGGAAAGCAACCTATAAACACAGTGGAAGCTCCTGTTGTGGAAAATGGGAAAAGTGAAGGGGAGCTTCTTGTAATTTTCGACATGGGTTCCATTCCTTGTAAGGAATAGGTTCTTGACTCGTCATGTACTTTTTATATGTATCCCAATAGGGACTAGTTTACATTATATGAAAGAGTTACAAGAGGTACAGTAATTATGGGAAACATGTCTTGAATAATTGTGGGAGTTGGTATATTCAGGATTAGAATGTTCGATGGAGCTATTAGAAAACTTATAGATGTAATACACGTTCCAAAATTGAAGCAGAATCTCATATTTTTTAGTATACTTGACTCGAAGGGTTATAGATACACTGGTGACAGTGGAGTTTTGAAAGTGAGCAGGAGTGCTCTTGTTGTCATGAATTGACATAAAAGCTCTATACAATTGTACATTTTGCAGTGTTCTACGGTAATATGGGATGCAGTTTTTTTTTTTTTTTTTTTTTTTTTTTTTTTTTTTTTTTTTTTTTTTTTTTTTCTTTTTATGAAGAAATTACAAAACTTTGACATGTGCAGCTTGGGCATAAGAGTAAGAACGGTATGGCAGATTTGAGTAGGAGAGGACTTCTTGATGGGTAGAAGACCAATAAGATAAATTTTTGTGAGCATTGTCTCTTTGCGAAATAGAAAAGAGTCAGATTCACTAAAGGAAGACACAACACGAAGGGAACACTTGAGTATATCCATTCAGATCATTGGAGACCGGCCAGGGTATCTTCAAAATGAAGTGCTTACTTGTTAATAGTAATTGATGACTTCTCCAGGAAAGTTTATGTATTCTTCTAAAAGCAGAAAAATGATGTGTTTGGGATATTCAAGGAGTGGAAAACAATGATAGAAAAGCAGACTGAAAAATAGGTGAAACATCTACGCACAAATAATTGGTTGAAATTTTGTTCAGATGAATTCAATAACTTCTGCAGAGTTGAATGTATCTTGAGATAATTTGAAAGAGCCTTGAACTCATCAACAAAACTGTATGGAAGAACGGATGAACAAAACTTTGATGGAAAATGTTCGTTGTATGCTTTCGAATTTTAGGTTACCTAAGACTTTTTGGGATGAAGCTGCTACTGCAACTTGTTTTCTGATTAATCACTCACCTTCAGCTGCCATTGGGAAAAAGATATCAGAAAAGGCATGGACTGGTAAACCTTCTTGTTATTCTGATTTCAAGATTTTTAGGTGTCCTGATTATGCTAATGTGGATAATGGGAAGTCCATCTTAAGTCTAGAAAGTGCATTTTTCTTGGGTATAAATCAGGTGTGAATGGTAATAAATTGTGGTGTCATGAAACAAGAAAAGTTAGTAGAGATGTAGTATTTAATTAACTTTCTATAGTTTATGGTTCACCGCGTGGGGATTTTGAAAAAACTAAGTAACAAAATCATTTAACTCGGGTGAAGCTGAAAATTGGTCCAAGGGGACAATCAGAAGTTTCAGAATGGTCTACTACATATCAATCTAGTTCAAAGCTAACAGACAGTAATATTTTACCAACACCACTAGCAACACCATAGTATTCAATTGCTAAGGATAGACCTCATAGACAGATTAGAGTTTCACAGAAGTATGGAGAAGCAGATTTAGTAGCTTATGCATTGAGTGCGGTTGACAATATTGATTCAATTGAGGAGCCTACTATATATTTAGAGGCAGATGGTTGATTGCTATGCAGGAGGAGATGGAGTTATTGAATAAAAGTAATACTTGGGACTTGGTGAAATTACCTAATGATAAAAAGGTTGTTCACTGCAATTGGGTGTTCAAAAGAAAGGAATGCACATTAAGGATTTAAGATGCAATGTATAAGATCAGATTGGTAGCAAAAGGCTACAGTCAGATTCCAAGTATTGACTTCACAGACGTGTTCTTATGAATTGTAAAGCATAGTTCTATTCAGACTTTACTTGGTGAAGTAGCTAAGAATGACTTCGAGTTTGAGAATACGGATGTCAAAATAGCATTCTTACATGGAAAACTTGAGTAGAGCAATTACATCCAACAACCAGAGGGTTTCATAGTTTCTGAAAAAGAAGACTGTGTACTTGTTGAAGAAATTCTTGTATGTATTGAAATAGTCACCGAGGCACTGGTATAAAATGTTCGATTCATTCACGACTACTCATAGTTTCATTAGAGGTAATAATGATAGTTATGTGTACTTCACAAAGGTAGATGGTGGATCGATCACATATTTGTTATTATATGTTGATAATATGTTCATAGCAACCAAGGACAAAGTAGAGGTTAAGAAGGTGAAATCTCAACTTAGTAAGGAGTTTGACATGAAAGATTTAGGTGCAGTAAAAAGGATTCTTGGTATTTAATAAAAGAAGTAAAAGGAGTTTTGGTTTTGGGAGTCCTAATTAATAAAAATGATTGGGAGTTTGGCTTGAAAAAGGACTTTGAGATGAAGAAAAATATCTTGGAGGCATAATTACCGAAAGTGGGCGTCGCGTGAGAAAAAAATGGGCAGGGAGCACTGTGTCACCCTTTTTGGTATTTCCACCCCAGGCGTCGGGGCATTGGTTTGATGGCGCCTGATTTTATATTTTCTTCATTTAGAACTCCAAAAAGTGGCTCCCATATATATTCTACATTGTTGTATCTCCATATATACATTTCTCCAGAGTTAAACAACTTAGATTTCAATTGAGAGTATTGAAATATGTATACACATTCATTATTGATTATAATGAAATTCTCTTCATGTGGTTTTTTCTCATTTTGAGTTTCCACATAAATTTTGGTGTTCTTGTTTTATTCTTATTTATTTCATTATTGTCATTATCTTGCGATCAATTCATAACACTATGCAATATAGTCAAATGCAAGAGCCAAATACTGAAAATTGTTAATTTCCATAGAAAGAACGAAAAGATGTCAAGGTTAAACAAAAGATCAATTTATAATGCATTTCTCCAAATATTAGTAGACCATGATAAACCAGTATTTGGAAAATGTATCCTCCAGGATTTTCTGCACATGGTAGGAAGCCATATGTGTGCTGGCAAGTGCTTTCGGACACGAGAACATCATTTGCAGTAAGAGCTACAGATTGATCATCAACATGATCAATTCCATCTGAGATTAAATCATCAGAGGAATTGATTTTTAGAAGTCGGCCATGAACTGTGCTGATAAAAGACATAAGCAACATAATGCTTAAACTAGCAATTATTCGAGTGAAAATTTGTATAACGTATGGTAGACTGCGAATGCGAATAGCCATATTTTTTCGAGAATTAATTATGCAGTAACGTGTGTGCTTCTTTAGTGCTGTGAAGGAAAATGGAAGCTATTGATCTCCTTTTATACAAGTGGAAGGCTTGAGGGGGTACGACTGAGACGAATCTTCTATTTTTAAAATGAAAATTGCACTACTAGTCCTCCAACTTAATAGTGCTAATAAGTTGGTCTAGATTAGTTACCACAGTGACCCATAAGAAACTATTTCATCCATTTGAAACTTAACAAGTCGGGTTTCTATTGAAAAACACTTATATGCCATTATTTTTAATTAAAAGAAATTTTAAAAAAATGTTAAATGACGTCAATTTAAGTGACTTCAAACGAGCGACGACTTAAAAAGTCAATAATATGAAAGTTGGTAGCTGGATTTTCAATGGGTCAGTTTCACATTTAATTATGGGAGGTCCTTGAGTCTATTAAAAATAAATGGTACATCATTCTCTGTGATTATATACACATATTTTGTCCCACTACATTTTTCTAAATCTTAATTAAGGGAAGTACATAGGGATATATGGACAAAAATTATCATAACTAAAGGACTAAATTAGAAGCCGACCATCGGCCCATTGTTTGCCTGACTCTACTCAAATTTTAATCGATTTTCGATATTAAAATTCAGAATCGATCGATGTCGATCCAGTTCTCAATTCTCATATCAAAAATATAAAATCTTGATTTAATTCGAATTTTTTTAGTTTTTTTTGTTTTTAAATCATATAGCCCCGTTTGGCCCCCATTTTAGGGTGTTGAAATTTTTTGAAAGAGCGATTGATGGGAGAATGTGTGGTAGAAAAGTAATAAAAAGTTTTAGATTTGTGTGTAATATTATTTTATTTGATGAATGTGTGGTTGAAGTGAAGAGAAAAAAAATTAATGTAATGTAATGCAAAAAATTGGGGGCCAAATGGGGGCATATTTCATCAACTTTTATCAAAATTTACTAAAAATTTAATTTTAATTCCCACCAAACAAGAGCTAATATTTAAGTACTATGATAATAGAAAGTTGTTGAATTTCGGTGGCTTCTGAAGGTTCTTGATTTTCCAAGCACAAGATATTTGTTCCAATGTTCATACCTTTTGAAGTTGAATTATACTGGTTGCTTTAAATCTTAGTTTGTTGTCTTTTGTACTTTTATTCTCGACTTTTGTTCTTTGATATTAACGTCTCTAACACTGTTGAAGAGCTAAGAAATTCTATAGAATTAGAGTCATGGTCTCAAATCTTTCATTTTTTCGTAGGCTTTAACTTAAACATTTTATTTGTGTCATTCATAGTCTCAAACCTTCAATTTTCTGATTTTGATTTAGGGATGGAGGATGGGATTGAGGGTGGAGCTAGAGCTGGGTGGCCAAGTTTTCCTTTTCCTTTTTATTTTATTTTAATTAATCTAATTGTTAATGTTTGGGAAAAAAAATGTAAATTTATTGTTTTAACCTTTTAAATTAGGTTAAAATTAATCAAAATAGGTCAATTTTTTTTATTTTTCCAATCAACTAATGGTCAATTGGACGAAAAAGTTTATTTGTCCTAGTACTGTAATTAAATTAAAGGTTTGGAATTGTAGATCACACAAATGAAAAGTTTAGAGAAACTCTACGAGAAAACGAAATATTTGTGATTGTTGCTGCAATTCTATCTTAGAATTATTGTAATTGATGGCACATGGGGACGAAACTTCAATGAAAACATAAAAGTAGAAGAAAAAAAACAAGGTGATGAAAAACAAAATTAGTAATTGAATCTTGACTTTGAAACAAAAGATCAAAAAATGAAAATCCTCAAATTTCACTATTTCTACTTACTTGAATCATTTTTTACTCCTCGTGAATGATAACATTACATTGTTACGCATGAAGGCGATTTCATATAAATCATTGTTTTCTTCTTTTATTTTACTGATAATATTTCAGTAGGGTCTGAATTTTTTAGTATGATTATATATTTTATCGTCAATTTTTACAACAAGATAATTTCAAAATAAGTTGTATTTATATTTAACTATTTAAGGTATGTTCAATACCCTGAAGTATACGAGAGTGGCGAAACAAATTTAACAAATTCCATGCTTAGAATGTTATATTATTCTATTAAAACAAAAATGAAAAATTTTTCTAGTTCGAAAAATTAGAATCTCTAATTTATATTGAGTGAGTTTAAAAAGCCCATTATGTTAACAAATTGCCATTTGCGTTCTTTTTCTCATTCTATAAATACAGCTAATTGGAATTAGCTTAAAATTGAAATATGGTCCTACTTACAAGTGAACCTTCCATTCATCAATGAAACACATTTAATATAATTCAACTACTTATATTATGACTTGTCTCTAAAAACAATAACTGATCAAACCTTAAATTCCAACATTTCGCAAAACTACTCTTTAAAAAATAAAAATAAAAGTGATCGAACAAGATATTCCTAGCCCTTGTTTGGTGGGGATTAAACTCCAATTTTTAGTAGATTTTGATAGAAATTGATGAAATGTATGGTTGAAAAGTTGTGGATCCCATAAAATGTGTTGTTAAAATGAATTGTTGAATTTGACTTGATATTTTAATTGGATTTTAATCCAAACCAAACAATGACCTAATGTCGTAGTTATGACTCGTGTCCAAAAACAATAATTGTTCAGACCTTAAATTTCAACATTTCACAATACTTGTTACGCCTCTCTACACAAGAACCCTCATGTGGTCTCAACCTTCCTACATGGCAAATGGTTTGGGGATTTCAAGCTCTGTACACTAACACGAGGTGAAGATGAACGATGCTCAAGCGCGGACGACCCGTTTTCCCCCGCGAGGAGAAGCTGGACCAACCCCATTATATGCGAACCCCATGGGAGAGTCGATCCAGATCTTGTATTATGCAATTGACAGGACCATTCACTGCCACCGTCGCCGCCAACAAATTTGCTCAAGTCCAAGAATGTAAACTAGGCCTTATGGATATAAAAATGGTATTAGCATTTAAGGATGTGATTGATTGATGTCTATGACAAGAAAGATCAGTTATTCGGATGAGGCCACATGTGTGTTATCCAACGGCCTTCATTCATCTTGTTGTATATATATTTTATCGTCAATTTTTACAACGAGATAATTTCAAAATAAGTTGTATTTATATTTAACTATTTAAGGTATGTTCAATACCCTGAAGTATACGAGAGTGGCGAAACAAATTTAACAAATTCCATGCTTAGAATGTTATATTACTCTAACTTGAAAAATCAGAATCTCTAACTTATATTGAGTGAGTTTAAAAAGCCCATTATGCTAACAAATTGCCATTTGGGTTCTTTTTCCCGTTCTATAAATACGACTTAATGGCATTACCTTAAAATTGAACTATGGTCCTACTCACAAGTGTACCTACCATTCATCAACGAAACGCATTTAATATGATTCAACTAATTATGTTATGTTATAACTCGTCACCAAAAACAATAACTAATTAGACCATAAATTTCAACATTTCACATACTATTCTTCACAAATACAAAAAATAAAATAAAAAAATTGAACAAGATATTCCTAGCCCTTGTTTGGTGGGGATTAAAATCAAAATTTTAGTAGATTTTGATAGAAATTGATGAAATGTATAGTTGAAAAGTTGCGGATCCCATAAAATGTGGTTAAAATTAATTGTTGAATAAGACTTGATATTTTAATTGGATTTTAATCCAAACCAAACAACAACCTGATGTCGTAGTCATGACTCATGTCCAAAAACAATAATTCACGAGACCTTAAATTTCAACATTTCACAATACTTGTTACGCCTCTCTACACGAAGACTCTCACGTGGTCTCAACCATCGTACATGGCAAGTGGTTCGGCGATTTCAAGCTCTCTACACTAACACGAGGTGAAGCTGAATCGACCCTCGAGCACGGACGACCCGTTTTCACCCGTGAGGCGAAGCTGGACCGACCCAATTATACGCGAACCCCATGGGAGATTCGATCCAGATCTTGTATTATGCAATTGACAGGACAATTCAACGCCGCCGTCGCCGCCTCCAACCTATTTGCTCAAGTCCAAGGCTGCAAACTAGGCCTTATGGATATAAAAATGGTAATAACATTTAAGGATGTGATTGCTTGATGTCTATGACAAGGAATATCGGTTATTGGGATGAGGCCACATGCGTGTCATCCAACGGCCTTCATTCATCTTGTTGTATATATATATTTTATCATCAATTTTTACAACAAGATAATTTCAAAGTAAGTTGTATTTATATTTAACTATTTAAGATATGTTCAATATCCTGAAGTGTACGAGATTAGAGAAACAAACTTAACAAATTCAATGCTTAGAATGTTATATTACTCTATTAAAACATAAATGAGAAATTTTTCTAGTTCGAAAAATTAGAATCTCTAATTTATATTGAGCGAGTTTAAAAAGCCCGTTATGTTAACAAATTGCCATTTGCATTCTTTTTCTCATTCTATAAATACGGCTAATTGGAATTAGCTTAAAATTGAAATATGGTCCTACTTACAAGTGAACCTTTCATTCATCAATGAAACACATTTAATATAATTCAACTACTTATGTTATGACTCTTCTCCAAAAACAATGACTGATCAAACCTTAAATTTCAACATTTCTCATTACTATTCTTTAAAAACAATAATTGAACAAGATATTCCAAGCCCTTGTTTGGTGGGGATCAAACTCAAAATTTTAGTAGATTTTGATAGAAATTGATGAAATGTACGGTTGAAAAGTTGTGGATCACATAAAATGTGTTGTTAAAATGAATTGATGAATTTGACTTGATATTTTAATTGGATTTTAATCCAAACCAAACAACAACCTGATGTCGTAGTCATGACTCATGTCCAAAAACAATAATTCACGAGACCTTAAATTTCAACATTTCACAATACTTGTTACGCCTCTCTACACGAAGACTCTCACGTGGTCTCAACCATCGTACATGGCAAGTGGTTCGGCGATTTCA